TCTAAGCTAATAATATTCCTCGGCAGAGTTGTATTTAAATTTTCAGAGTTACCGCCAAAATTGGTCGCAACCCAATTAACTTTACATCTGTATTTTTAAATCATTGTTTTTTTGTTTTTTTTTTAGATTACTCACTAATTAAATTGAAGATAAAGTTAGATTCTCAGGAGGCTGGAGTAATTAATTATGTTACCATTCTTTCTATGGCTATTTAATATTTTTCGTCCTGATATTGTATGAATAGAATTATTAATATCATTTTTATAGAAAGGAAGACTGTTTTCAACATCATAATACAGTCTTCTTTCTCATGACATGTTTTGTTTTCATTAAATTGTTTGTGTCTTTATTTGCAGTCACGCTTAGTAAACATGTTAAGCAGCTCTTCTTGAGATCCTAATATGGAAAACATTCATTTTCTTCGTGTTATTTTATTATTTTATATAAAACTATTTTATTTGCTTATTACATACGGAAACAGACACATTCAATATGATTATTCCTAATTCCTTTTTTGTCATCTTTCCAGAAGAGATATTTGGAATGTATCATTGAGAATCAAATGGCAGCATGTCTACAGATATTTCCAATAATATTAGTAGAAGTTTCGCCGAATTCTTCAGTTCATTTGTTTATCCTTTCATTTCCGATGTTTTTTCTTGCATTTTCCATGAATCGCTATGTTTAGTTGTAAAAGTGGGGGTAGTAGTATACCTTTGCTTTGAAATTCAGTTTTCCTTCTCTCCAATTGGTTTCTATGGTATGGTGGTATTTTAGTTTTACTTACAGAAGATGAGGCAAAAGAATGTGCATAGGTGGGACCGAGGAAAGGATAAAAGCTGAATGAGGATCAAGAAAATAGAAGATAGTGATTGACGTTGCATTTAAATTTTTGAAGATTGTAGTTATTAGGGGAGCAGGAAAACGGAAGGGAGTTCCACAGGTGGAAAGTGCGAGAAAAGAAAATGTTAGAGTAGAAGTGGCGGTTACATTTGCTTTATTCAATAGTAAATAGGTGGGACATAGATGCCCATGTAGTAGCACGCTTAAACACACGTAGTCCTGGCGGCAGGGAAAAATATTTTCAAAGCAGTAGCCATGAAAATATTTGTAGAAAAGACAGAAGGAAGCCACGTAACATCGGTGAGAAAGTGACTGAAGTCGAAATACCAAATCAGTCTCGATGACGTTCCTTGTTTGGATTGTGTCAAGAACCTCGATATGAGTAGCTGGAGCACCTGACCAGATCTAGCAACAGTATTCAATGCACGAACGAATTTGTCAATGTGCAAGATGGACTTTGACAAGAAAAACCTTCTGGTATTACACAGTGACCCAATTTTCCTTGCAGTAGATGTAGGCGTTCCACTTCAAGTCTGTTGAAAACGCGAGACCAAGAAGGGCCCGTGAGACGCTCTGCCACTAAAAGCTTCACTCATTTTTGTATGCCATATTGTATTCCATTGTCAAAATTGAAACAATCGTGAAGTTTTCTGCCAAGAAACTTAAACTACTCAACTAAATCAAATAGTTTGCAATATACTATTGCAAGATGTTTAGTTGAATGGATTGCTTGCAAGGATAGATGACCACTCATTCGCCTGCATACAATGTTTATTAGAATATCCTAGAGACATTCGTTTTTGTATCAAATCGTCTGCTATTAAAGACTTTACCCGCAGTTTGGTAGTGAACGTAAACAGCATGATAGTATTCCTTAAACACAATGAAGAAAACGATGGCAAATTATATAGAAAATTATGTTGAAAGAGTTACGGTTCCTTCATAAATGTAGAAATCTCTGATATGCTTCCCTCAACGCTAATCCAGTATATCGACAGGTATCAACAGGGAGAAATGCAAAGGCGGAAGTCAGAATTTCATTCGACATCTGGACTTCATATTTCGGGAAATTTGGCATAGAAAATCTGTACTTGATGATTGGAGGTTTGCAGCAATAATGTTTTTATATAAAAGAGGAGAATAGCAAGAATAACTGTTGTAACTCATGTGTTATATCGCCGCTTTCTCTAGGAGTAAATTTTTATACAGGATTTAGTTAGGTTTTTTACATGTTTACACAGCTGAAGGTATTCTTTCAGAAAATCGAGACGACAAGTTTTAAAGATAGTAAAGGATTTCGGCGGGTAACCAAGCTTCTGAAATACTTTTCCTGATGCATTTCGTTTGACTATCAAAAACATTCATCAAATCGACAAAGAATCGATACAAGTGCATTTCTTGCTCAATAGATTTGCCTGGAAGTTGTCTGACAGTGAAGACCATATCTGAAGTACCATACCCTGCACGAAAACTATGCATTGATTTTCTGGAAGAATACCTTCAGCGGTGTGCTTTCCATTAGCAGGGTCGATTCTGATTTCCAGGATAGAAACTTAAGGCGCCTTACTTGTTTCATGTTTTCTGCTGACATGAAGTGGAAAGATTATATTGAATCAATTACTAAATCTGCTGCTAAGATATCTTTCTCGTCAGATTTTATCTTTTACATATATAACCCTGCTATGCATGGAATATTTCTGATACATTTGGTTTGGGCATGTGCTATGCATCTATAGATTCTTAACAAAATCGAATAAATAATCGGCAACGTCATAACGTGGCATTTCGCCTTCACTCACATTGCCATAATTTGACTTTCCTGTGAATTTTCTATTACTATTTTCACGATAGCTGTTCTGATTACACTCCTGTTTGACATGTCATGACTAGACAAATATAAATGCAGTACTAGAGTGGCAGCTAGGTCTCGTTATTTTATTTTTGAAATTGTTAGTTATAACCGCAAGTTCTATGGTAATGTTGTTTTTTCTCTGGCACTCATTTGCAGGTCCATCTTCCAGCTATCCATTTTCTAGTTAACTTTGATCTTCAGAAATTTAAAGTCATTTTCAGTCTCTTTGAATCCTGTTCTTTATTTTCCAGTCAGTTTCTTTCGCTCTCATTAAACCCTTGGACCGTTCTGAGCATGCCGATAGACTATATCTGGCAGCAAAGCCTCTGATCTGAAGGATTTGGGGAGCGTGGAACCATCGGATAATTGTTCTTGTTCTCCGATTCACTCTGACCCGGCGTGGTAGTACCTGCTAGGGTTCCAGCTATAGGCAAATGGTTAATCCTTAAACTTGTGTCAAAACGCTATGAAAGTATAAAAATAGTTTTTTATAGTAAAAATGTCAGCAACACGTTTTCTCTTAAATTACCAGCAATACATTAGGCTCTTGACAAAAACCCTCTTTAAATGTAAGTCAATAAAACTTGATCGAAACACTGATTTCTTACAAAGAATACTTATTTTAACCAGACGAACCTGTCTTAAAAATTTTGTCGGGATTAAATACGCTATTGAAATTGATATGTCGTAAAACAAAATAAACCTAACCAAACCAAACCAACCCGTTGAATCTTAGGGGCTCTAATTTCCTTGGTTGGGGTGAAATGATTAAAAAATAAGTAAATAATGGCTGTAAGCTACAAACATATGTAGAACTGAGAAAAATCTAACACCGATTCTCTAATTAATTAATCCTATGAATGTGTTTTATATATCTCTTCAGACTTTTCTACATTTTTCTTGTTCATCGAAAGTTGTATTCCAAAGTAACACAAGCTTCTCAAATGTTCGGCATTTTCATCAGTATTTCACTGCTTTCAATCCTGGCAAGATCTGTGACGACTTTAAATTTATTTTGTATGTTGAGAAAGTGAGGTGAAGAAAATTGTCAAAGATTTTAAAACACTAATTACATAAATAATAAAGTAAATATATACATATAAACAAATAAGAGAAAAATCAACAACAATAATAAGAAAATTTACTTACTTTCGTTAACCAGGATTAAACTATATCACTTAGCGTCCTCCATAGTTTAACTTTACTTTTAAAGTTATCCTGAAGAAAATTTATGATCGTTTTCAAATTTAAACATTTTGAAATTCAAAAACTGTTTTGTCTTCTGTTTATAAGTACATATTGCAAAATAAAATACTCACATCTGCGCTGATGAAGTCTATCAGAGGGCAAAACGCATTGATAAAGCATTATTTTTTTTTCTCTTCAGGCATACACACACGCACACACACACACATATATTTATATATATATATATATATATATAATTATTTATTCGAAAATTCTAATATAAATATGTTATAAAATCACTACAAAAATAGCCATTTTTTTTCAACACCTCTGTTTCAAGTCATGGTGTTGAATGTAGAATAAAGGGTTTTGAAAGGTTCAAATCAATCGAACATACCTCGCTAGAGGAAACGCTGTTACAGAAGCTCGGATGACCAATCTAAATACAAGTATATGAGAATTCAAAAAACCTGACAACGAACTAAGGTCATAATAATTATTTAATGCTTTAATGTTAGGTTTAGACTAAAATAGAATTCATTCTAACTAACAAATATTAAATTATATTATAAAATTCAAAATTTAAAAATTACCAATTTTAAATTTAATCTATATTAAGTTTAAAATTATAAATTATTTAAAGAAAAAACTGAGGAAAATTATATATGTTTTTTTTAATTTATTTTGTTTTTATTGAAATTAAGTTGGAATAAACGTTAAGATCTAATGTTGGTCTAAACTCCGTTACAACTTAGATACATTTGAATGGAAGATATGGGCAAGGGAGGATGAAATCTTGCAAAAGACAATGCATACACAATCAGATTATAATGCACAAACACGCAGACATATTTAGATATATAAACACGCAAAAAAGCGGCGAGACAGGAAATATGTCCACGACCCTTAATATATATATATATAAATCCACATTCCTCGTTGAATAAATATTGTTCTTTGAGTGTTTCATGAATGTTCTTTTGCGTAAGACTTATTTCGGTCCCCAAATTCATTTACAGATGTTCTGAGGTCTGTGATTGAATGGTTTGGATTTTCCATTCCAAGTTCAACTTGATAAAATTAAGTGTCACGAGGAGATTATTTGCTCCCGGCGAAAATGTCAGCCGTGTCAAAATGTCAACGTTCAGATATGAAATGGAAAGCAGAAGAAGAAAAAGCCAAGGGATGGCGAGTAAATGTTCTTGGCTGATTGGATCATGACGGCCATATGCACTTTTCAGTAAGATTCTCAGTAGAGATGGATGTCTTTTCTGACGACTTCTCGGATAATTCACATAAAACAAGATTTTTTTCCTTCTAATATAGTTCTCAGAATATTTTTCTCTGCCAATCCCACAGCGTCTTCAAATCTATTTTGTTTATATCGATAAAAGCTTATTCAATTCCTTCTTTGTACTCAATTTTCTATACTACATCACATATAGTGTATCAGTATATTCTTCACAGTTTCTATCTATCTATCTATCTATCTATCTATCTATCTATCTATCTATCTATCCAGCTAGCTATCAGGTATTATAGCAGACGTTATGGGAATTATATCTTTGACCAAAACATATATAAATTTAATTAAATTTTTATGAATTCTGGACCATTGAGAGGAAAAAAAAATAGAAGACTATAAATATATGTTTATATATATATATATATATGTGTGTGTGTGTGTGTGTGTGTGTGTGTGTGTGTGTGTGTGTATTTAGGCAGCAAATTCTCTTTTAGGCATGTCTCATTGCATAAATTACAAACCATATGTCTCCTTACTTTTTATCATACCCTTTCATATTCACGAATATTTTTCTGTATATTACAATCAAATGAGGCAAGAAATGCACTCTAACTGTGAAAATCCCTTTTATTTCCCAAGTACTTTGTATCTCTTTCTGAGATCATCATCAGGGGTGCCACTGTTAAGGCAAAAACTATGTACCACTAACCGTTAATGCGAATAAATAGATTGGTAAAATCCGAGCCGGTTTAGTTTTTCACAGAAAAGACACTAAAATATGTAATAAAACAAAAGGTAGATTTTTGTTCCTCTTACGAAGGAAACCGAGCGAAAGTCCATCTCTCTCTCCCCCCTCTTTCTCTCTCACTCACGCCCTCTCTTACACACACGCATATATCTTTATAGATACAAATATTTAAGTAAAGGCTCTGTTTATTATAAAGTGTATTAACATTTACCGGCCGATAAATTTCATAGAAAATATGTGTCCTCCGACATTACGTTAAGATACGCTTCGAGCAGATATGATATATATATATATATATATATATATATATATATATATATATATGAAATGGTCCATTTGTCTCTGAGACATTGCACTAATATTTGATTAAATTATGTGAAATTCTTACATAATGAAGATGTTAATAGAGAAAATATTTTCTGCCACTTTGTTAACCCCTGTTTTCATATATAATTCAATGATAAACATAATATGAAATAATTACATCTCAATTTTTTTTGTCTCAATTTATAAACAAACCTTTTGTAATTTTTTCATTTTTATATCTTGAAAAGCTCTTCTGAAGAAAATTTAACATATTTTGGGCCACACGATTTCCATTTACTTGGTCAGAAGAGCCGATTTTCCGGTTCTATAAACTCAGCCTAGTACGTTTGTAAGGGTGGTCTTTAAGATATGTTGAAATTAGTAACGCCCACTACTGAGATTAGAATCTATCTTGACATGAGTGACATACACGACTCTTGTAATATCCATTTATTTTAACTTTGTTTCCTCGTATTGAAGTTTTGGTCAATCAACACTTCATCATGCAGGATTGATATTACATTATGTAATTCGACGTCTTTCTCATTAATTTCTCAGTCTCCGACGCCAACATTTATTTACAGCCCTGGGGTGTAGCTGGTTAGATGGTCTGACTCAATGATCCCTCTATCTCAACGCTTCATTGCCACTCCTTGTTTAGCTGTCGTTATTTAATCGAAGAAAGACGCTACATGTTATTAGGTAGTACCTTGAATTCTTTGGCATTTCAATTAAAATGGGTTACTATATAAGACGGAAAAAGATCGTTAGATGTAGGCAGCACTTCATAGAAAAAAAAGAATGATAAATACGTATATACATGAAAAAACCTATGATTTGTCTGATGAAATAAGGATGTCATTTTGTCCTGCAAAAAGAGGCTTCAGAGACATCGAAAACTGAATTATATTTTTGTCCAATGAGAGAGCACTAAAAAAAGGATACATTTTTTGGCAGTCGCAGACTATATTCAGAATAAATTGAAGGATTTCATCACTGAAAAATTATTATTTTTCCCTCTTGAATTGTCGAGTAAAATAATTAACTACATTTATTTTTTACCAATAATTATTTTTTACCAATGATTATTTTTTTACCAATGATTATTTTTTTACCAATGATTATTTTTTTACCAATGATTGTTTAGAAATAATTCTGAATTTTAAGCCCATTTTGGAGCCGATTGTTTTTAGATAAATTTCGATAACTGATTTTATTGAGTCTTCGATAAAAATATTGTACTTTTCGGAAATTTCCCGATTACTCATTTTCGATATTTCATGTAATCGAACAGTATGAGTAGAGGATTTACATTATATTCATTTTCATTTTATTGTCAGCATTGTTAGAAAATAACTACACAATTTATATTTTCTTTAGAAATTTACATATTTCGATTGTTATTGCTGCTAATTCTACTATTGATTTGGATCGGCAAATAAATTAACATTTCCCTGATTTTTTGATATATACAACTATTTTGTCTATGAAACATTTAAAAATAAAAATAAATTTGTTAAATTTCATTTTCTGTTTGTGAACTTTTTAAATACTTTACAAATATTTGTTCAGTTTATATAAAAATGGTGACTCCGATTTGATCATTTAGAATTAGAACCATCTTCCTTCGAAATGTGCCTACTGGCGCTACAGGGTCACAAAGAACTGTACCAACTAATACTGTTGCATATCCCCTTGACGGGGATGGTCTGGGTCTCCATGTGATAAGAAAGTTATCTTCTCTCTCGGCCGGTGATCACTAGTCGTCTTGAATCCAGAGATAAACGAACTTCAACACAAGGAATGTTACACTTAACTATTTTATTAACTTCTACGTATAAATCTCTCGTTATTAGGTGGGTTTGCTCTCCCTTCATTGGAGAGTAGTTCCAGGTACAAAAGGAAACACGTCTACATTATTTGAAAATCACTCAAAAACCTTTCTATACCTCTATCATTCTAACGCTTGTTCAGCCAATCAAAATCGACTTATTTTGTCTTAAACCTGACGTCTAAGGTCAACCTGATGAAGTTCGAGCAGAGATACAGTTCCAATAAAAAAAATAATAGTCTGCTAAACTATAATTTACAATAGAAACCACCACACTTGATACTTTTAACAAAGGAAACAAGTAAAATGAACAGCACACGTAAAGAAAAAATAATGACAAAATGAAGATGTTAAAATTCCACACAAATTCAAACAAAAGCTTAGGAAAGAAACATCCATTAGTAACGGAAAGAATAATAAGAGTTACTAGAAACTGATTTTTCTGGAAGAAGTGAATTAGGAGGAAGATTTTATCAGTTTTAACCAAAAGTAGCACCGGCTATTTGGTCAATGAATATTGGACGGTTCCTTGAAAATGGAAACGGCAAATTCTACTTTTATCATTGTACAGATATCTAACAAAAGACATTGATAATGAATACCATTTTGATGTTTACAGATGGAACATGGATTATATTTTATACTTCGTAGCAACCTCGTAACTTCCTAGGCATTAGTTACCAATAGCTGTTACCGTCATTACCAAACTTGAAGGGGTCTAAAAACATTTTTTATTCATAATTCTCTTTTACTTTTCTACTTTTTTCTACTAATTCTTTTACTTTCTTATTATAATTCCCGTGAACTTTATTGTTTTCGCCCAAGCGTTTTTTAATCTTCAGTTTGAATTCTCAGCGACTTACGCTTCACTTTTATTTCTTGCCTTTCAGTAAGATGCCAGTTCTTTAACATTCAGTTAAATCGGCTGCTTGCATAGATTATAAAAATTTCCGTTTTTTTCCCTTTTTCAGATTGGTCCAGGATCAGAGGTGAATCCGACTCGTGTTACAGTCATTTTTAGACGCACGTTCTGCAAAACGTGCCGGTTAGGTGAACAGGTTCAACTACTTACGCTTGATCACTACATCATCGACTGACAGGTAGGGCTATTCAGAGATTCACATCGAGGCTTCTTGCAGTTCTCGCGATAAATCATTTCATCGGAACGCATCGATGCAAAAATGTAAATAAATAAAATTAACGCGGAATCTACCAATGAAAATATCATGAGATGAAATCAAAATAAAAAACAAAAAAAGATAAATGAATGAGAAACAAATATTTACAAACGGCGAAAGAAAATAGATTTGGTGGCCAGGAGAACATTGTCAAAAAATGCAAGAAAACAAAAAATAATTTAAAAAAAAGTCGTTTAGATACAGACGCCATTGCGGTCATTGAATCTGAGCCTGCTTTCTTAGTATGTGAGGGGTCACAGGTCAATCTTGGATATTTCCTGCTGGATACACTTGTAAAGGTATCCTTAATCCAAAAAGAGTTTGAGTACGTGAGAAGAAAGTGAAAAAAAAAAAAAGAAAGCAATAGTAAATGTGTCCTTCGTTGTCATTTCACTTTGGAAAGAAAAAATCTAAAAACCTCGAGGCATAATTATATTTTAAACAAATTACAATATCATAAAAGTAATATTTATTTCGCTTAACCTTCAGGCTACTGATAAACAATGCAGAACATATATAAGCCACCCAAAATGGTAAGTAGAACCATCTTAATTTCGGATTTCATTTTCAACCATGTTTTTTTCAATAAGCCCAAATCATCACAGATTAGAAGAAAATATAAAAAGGTTTAGTACAGATTATCAATAAAGGAAAATGAATAAAATTAGTTTAGTATCAGTATCAGTCAGAGACTTAAACTAAACATACTTTAGTGAATTTAATTTATGGTGACTTAGGGAGGAAAATGAAACATTAGCTTCGCGTTCGAAATACGGCCAAATTAAGATGAAAATAATTCATCATATTAAAAGCTTAACAACATTTGAAATCGGTTGGTGAGAATATATATATATATATATATATATATATGTGTGTGTGTGTGTGTGTGTGTGTGTGTGTGTGTGTGTTTGCAAATATATTGATAAAATAGGAAAGAACCGTTAGATCGTTGATCCGAAGTTCTTTAGTATTTTTGTTTTTAATTTTTAAAAGCAGTTTTTCGATACACAAATAGCGCTTAGATTTAAATTTAAAATTTCAAAACCTATAAACAAGTTCAATTAAAGCAACAACCCTTTTAGAAAAAAATCCTTATGCATACAAGTACCAATTTAACGGCGAAACAAAAGTGCCGAAAAAAATTCTGTCGTTGAAAAAGACCAGACGACAGGCGTTGAACGGAGGTCATCATTCGTTTAAAAAAAGGCTCCCCGAACCTGCTTT